GGGGGGGGGGGGGGAAATATCTGAGTTACATGAATTTCTAATTATGAGAGCTGCCCCCTTTAGCTCCACGACTCATTACATACATCAAAGGACAAAGGTGCCTATGTTTGATCCCCTTAAATTGTATTATAAATTCAGGAATTTAAATTCAAATGAAAATTCAAATAGATTTATTCCAGGATTTAAAGTTTTCACTTACAAGTATTTTTTGGTATACATTCTAGTTCCCTTTTATTCCAGTTATAGTCACAGACTTCTGTTGAAAGACAGGCCATGGAATCACAGGTTAGTTTGGTCTCACAGCGACTACCTGTTAAAAATAATACATTATTTACTGAATTAATACAGTAACCTTAGATAATATCAGTATCAGGGGGTGTGAGCCAACATAGGGCCGGTTCACGGAAGCACTGGTACAGGCATCAGAAATTTACTAACCTTGAGGAAGATTTGAACCCACAGCACTTACCACACAGCAATCCAACTCACTACCGAGGTTTCCAATATTTTGGACTCTCTCTTTGTATCCCTTAAGTATATTTAGAAACCCTAGCTAGATACCAGGAGGATACAGGCTAAATTGTATTTTTTCCCCTCAAGATATTAATCAAACATATTGAAATTAGATTCTGAATTCACAAAGATTCACCTTGAAAATTTAACCTTGAACTATAACACTGGTTGAAAAGACCACGATTAATGGCCGAGCCGAGGCCGTGCAGGAGTCATAAATGTTCCAGGGGAGCCACAGGAAATTCTCTGTGGTGCTGTGGTGTACCAAGATAATGGCTATGACCTTGAAATTTGACCTTGATCATTAAAAGACACACCTGGTCTGCAATTGTCCCTTTTGGATACATTACATTGCCCATTGCCTTCATTGTCAAATATTTATTTTAGAAAATCATGCGGCGAATTGAAAATGAATCGCTTAAACCTCAATTTCATGGAATTTCGAAAAAGGACTCTTCTGAAAAAAGGGGGTACCTGACCCTTTGGTGACGTTTATAAAATTTAATAAAATTATACTTACCCGTATGTGTTGGGGGGCAGATACATTTTAAAGGACCGGTTCCAACATCTCCACTACATTCCCACAGTTCATCGTCCAGTAGTTGGCGACATGTGCCGTTATTTTTACAATGATCAGGGAAACTGTCACAGGTGATTCCCGGGGGGTCGAGGAAGACATCCCGGACTGGTGGGAGACTAGTAGTGGGGTTGAGGGTTGTATCTGTAACACCCCTCACTTCATGTCGACTGTGTATCAACAACAGTAAGAATAATCCCTGGTAAATTTTGAAGAGTTCGGGGGGACGGATCATCTCATTCTCTCAGATTCGCACTGAAAAATAATAAAATAATAAAATCAAAATAATGAAATAATGAAATGATAAAATAATGAAATAATGAAATGATAAAATAATGAAATAATGAAATGATAAAATAATGAAATGATAAAATAATGAAATAATGAAATAATGAAATAATGAAATGATAAAATAATGAAATGATGAAATAATGAAATGATGAAATAATGAAATGATAAAATAATGAAATGATAAAATAATGAAATGATGAAATAATGAAATGATAAAATAATGAAATGATAAAATA